AACAGTCCAAAAGGAAAAAGCGATTTGGCAAATATAAGAATAAGAAATGCTATAAATCAGTATGCAATAAAGCGGTGGAAACCATCTGACTGCATTTACTACATGGCAGAGTAAAATTGGATGAAAAGGTGTCACCGTATGACCTAAAGATGGCCATTGGGATGGAATGGCGAAAAGGAAGGCAAGGAAAAGACTGAAGACGGAAGGCTGAATGTTACCTTTGAAGAGGAATTGGCCTTCACGGACTACGCAAAAATGCAATGGGCTTATCTGTCTACTTTGAGCAACTTTAGAAAGTCTTGAAACTGAACGACGGGAACTTGGGAAAACGAAACCGTTGTCATGTTATTTTTACGGAAGGCACTGCTTCAGACGATTTTGTTTAGTTTTCTGTCCAGACCGCGCTTAGGCAACGAAAAGAGTTTAAGTTACCTTCAATAGGGGGTAAACGGCGTAAACAAAAAAAAAAACAGTACACTAAAGACTAAAAAGGAACTCAGTATGCCGAGCGGCAATACGCGGTACAATAAGGGCAAGAATTTTAAAAATCAAGTGCGAATCTCAAAAATATTGCTGAAAAACGTTTGTGGGCAAAAACAAAATGCTACCCCAGGCTCTGTAGTTTCTCAGCCTGGCTAAGAGGTGACAAATGAAATCCGCACTCCGGACCGCAGTGGTACTTCGGCTGAACACAAGACGCGTATCGACTGAAGGAAGATCCAGCCCGGACATTCCCTTCGTCTGTTCCGACAATATCCAAACGTATCACATACACCAAAAACGGTGCGTTAGTGAAGTGGCATGCACAAAAACTCCCAAAAGGCGGGATGAATACGATGCGGGTACAAGAGGTACATTGCGGCAAAATAAAGAAATATTCGGTAAAAGAAAGCCATGCAAAAAAGAACTGCACGCCTGAAAATGGAAGATTGAAAAATGAAATAAAAGGATAGAGTCTCTTTCTAACGGTTAGCTTATGTAAAGCGTATCCAAAACTAGCACATTGTTCGAACTTCGGGCCAAGGTGACGACATAGCCTTCCGTTGTTATCTTTAGGCAGCAGGACCTACTGACTTTGGTCTGATTGCAGACAAATTCACTGAGAAGATCACCGGTCCTATTAAATACGGCAATATGAAACCGATTGCCATGAGAATCTCCAACAAGCACATCTCCGTGGTCACTGACGTCTATACCGTTAGGGAAGTCAGTGATTGTCTCGCCACCGATACGACGAATGTAAGTACCATCTTCTTGGAACACGATGACACAATGCGCCTGAAATTAAAATGCAAAGATTTTAAGTCTGAGGTATGCATTTGACGGTAAACCTAACC